AGATTACAACTCTACATGTCCACAAACAACACACTCAAGGGGTAGGCTCAATGAGCACCAAAGCCCCACTAAAGCAAGTTCTGCTACATAGTGGTATCTCCTGCATAGCAGCTCTTCCATTGTAGATGCAGCTGGTCCTCACAGCCAATTGGTCTGGAGGCCAAGTCCTCTAAGTGACACCAATCAAGGCTCAACTATAGCAAAACTGTGCACATAGCCCATACAAGGGTGCACCTAGAGTGCCCAGCTCAGGTGACTGGGAAGGCTGAGCCATTGGGCCCTACAGAACACATATTATATAAGGGTACTCTACCAATTCCAGGAAACATAATAGCTCTACCTAATATACATAAACAAACACATAAAGCAGCCAACATGTGGAGACAAAGGACTATGTTACAAATGAAAGAAATGGAAGCAAGCAAGCTACTAGATACAGAGTTCAAAACAATGGTTATAAGGTTGCTTAAGGATCTGCATGAGAGCTTCAAGGATCTTCAGTGAGATTTTCAAGGATCTTAGTGAGAATGTCAGACAAAAAAAGACTACTCAAAAATTAAGCATACACTAACTGAAATAAATATTAATTTACAGGAATTCAACAGTAGAGGATTTGAACAATCAAATCAACATTTGGAATCTGAGGAAGAAAAAAACACCCAATTTAAAGAGCAAAAAGAAAAAAAAATACAAAAATATAAAGACAGTGTACGGAGCTTCTGGAACAACTTCAAGGGAACCAACATTCACATTATGGGGGTACCAGAAGAAGAAGAAAAGAGAGAGCAAGATATTGAAAACCTATTTGGGAAAAAAAATTTTTTAAAGAAAAGAAAACCTATTTGAAGAAATAATGACAGAAAATCTCCCCTATCTGGTGAAAGAAATAAACTTACAAGTCCAGGCATCACAGAGAGTCCCAAACAAGAGGAACCCAAAGAGGCTCACACCAAAACACATCATACTTAAAATGCCAAGGGTTAAAGATAAAGATAAAATCTTAAAAGCCACAAGAGAAAAGCCGTTAGTTACCTGCAAGGGAGTGTTCATATGACTATCAGCTGATTTCTCAACAGAAACTTTGTAGGACAGAAGGGAGTGGCAAGAAATATTCAAAGTGATGAATAGCAAGGACCTACAGCCAAGATTACTCTACCCATCAAAACTATCATTGAGGCCCTGGTTGGTTTGGCTAAGTGGACAGAGTGTCAGCCTGCGGACCAGAAGGTCTGGGGTTTAATTCCCGTCAAGGGAACATGCACAGGTTGTGGGCTCGATCACAGCAGGGGCCATGCAGGAGGCAGCCAATTGATGATTCTCTCTCATCACTGATGTTTCTATCTAACTCTCCCTCTTCCTTCCTCTCTGAAGTCAATAAAAATATATTTTTTTAAACTATCATTTAGCATTGAAGGCCAGATAAAGAGCTTCATAGACAAGAAAAAGATAAAGGAGTTCATCACCACCAAACCAGTAATACATGAAATGTTGAAGTGTATTCTAGAAGAAGAAGGGGAAGGGAAAGGGGAAGGGGAAGGGGAAGGGGAAGGGGAAGGGGAAGGGGAAGGGGAAGGGGAAGGGGAAGGGGAAGGGGAAGGGGAAGGGGAAGGGGAAGGAGAAGAAGAGAAGGAGGAGGAGGAGGAGGAGGATGAAAATATATGTGCGCTGAAACCGGTTTGGCTCAGTGGTAGAGCCTCGGTCTGCAGACTGAAAGGTCCCAGGTTCGATTCTGGTCAAGGGCATGTACCTTGGTTGTGGGCACATCCCTGGTAGGGAGTATGCGAGAGGCAGCTGGTCAATGTTTCTCTCTCATTGACATTTCTAACTCTCTCTTCCTCTCCCTTCCTCTCTGTAAAAAATCAATAAAATATATTTTTTAAAGAAAAATAAAATATATATGAATATAATGGCATTAAATACATATCTATCAATAATTGAATCTAAAAATAAAAATATACAAACAAGAAATCTAATGAACAAAATAAACTGATGAATAAGATAGAATCAGAGGCATGGAAAAATTGGACAGACAATTTCAGAGGAAGGGGGTGGGATTTAAAATCTGTAAATTTTGAAGATTTAAAATAAGAAAATACTTTCTAAAGAAATAGATGAAGATATGGCAATATAGCATGTTGTATAAAAATATGGAGTTAACAAAGGGAAGTAACCACATATCTTGCATATTTGTACTTCACTTTCTTATAACAAATGTGATTTATTTACTGTGAACATAAAAGAATCCTACATAATAAAAGGCTAATATGCAAATTGACAAAATGGTGGAATGACTGGTTACTATGTGAGCAATGACCACCAGGAGGCAGAAGCTCAATGCAGGAGCTGCCCCCTGGTGATCAGAGTGCTCCCACATGAGGAACACAGCTCAGCCAGAAGCCAGCCTCAAAGCTGGTGAGTGCAGCCGAAACCGGTTTGGCTCAGTGGATAGAGCATCGGCTTGGGGACTGAAAGGTTCCAGGTTCGATTCCGATCAAGGGCATGTACATTGGTTGCAGGCACATCTCCACTAGGGGGTGTGCAAGAGGCAGCTGATCGATGATTCTCTCTCATCGATGTTTCTAACTATCTGTCCCTCTCTTTTCCTCTCTGTAAAAAAATCAATGAAATATAAAAAATAAATAAAATCAAAAAAAAAAAAAAAAAAAGCTGGTGAGTGCAGTGGTGGTGGTGGGAGCCTCTCCCACCTCCGTGGCAGTCAGACATCCCCCAAGGGCTCCTGGACTGCAAGAGGCTGCAGGCTGGGCTGAGGGGGACCACCCCCCACCCCGAGTGCATAAATTTCGTGCACTGGGCCTCTAGTTGAATAATAATGGCCCATGTGGAACTTGTGTCCCATTCTTCTACTCCTGTATCCATAACACCTACATAGGGCTAAGTACCCAATGACTTTAACAATTCTGTTGGTTGAATGACCATTGTAAAAATGGAGTGAGGATGTCTTGTTATGGTGTTGCAGAATTTTGCACTTAAAGTAAATTAGATATTATCTAATCCAATACTTCTAAATTGGTGTTCCATGAATATTTCTTCTTCTTTTTTAAATATGTTTTTATTTATTTCAGAGAGAGGAAGGGATAGAGAGAGTTAGAAACATTAATGATGCAAAAGAATCATTGACCAGCTGCCTGCTTGCGTGCTCCCTGCTGGGGATTAAGCCTGCAACCTGGGCATGTACCCTGACTAGGAACTGAACCGTGACCTCCTTGTTCATGGGTCAACACTCAGTCACTGAGCCACACTGGCTGGGCAATATTTCTTGTTATGATGTTAATAGCATGCTGCATTAAGTGTTTGGGGCTCATATAAATGTGGGAATCTCATGTTAACCAACTTAATCAGATGTGCTTACTGTAGGGCTTCTTGGAGACTTTACTATATCTCTAGTAATCAGTGGTTTCTGGAGCATTCTTTGGAAAACACTGATCTAGTTTCTCTCCTAATCTTAGAAATAGGGAGAGGCTCTCTGGAGCCTGTTCACGTACGGATGGTGAGAAACTAGAAAGAAGGACCACAGGATTCTGGAACACCATGCACTTGAATTATTTAAAACTGGGGCAAGGGGTCATACACAAGCATCTCCTGTGCAGATCTTTAAAGGTTTTCTGATCCCTAAGGAACTTAAGAGGTGGGCTCAAGTGTTGGCAGGAACTAAAGAAAACTTAAACAGATACAGAATATGAGTTTCAGTGGCATGGTGATTCCAAATTGAGCAATAGCAATGTGATTATACACTCATTCACATTTGTACATTGTTTTCTAATAAATAAGTGTTTTAAGCTTGTCTTATTTGGTTTTCATAACTATCTAAGGAGAAAGATAAGGATGAGATTATTATTTCCATTTTATGAAAGAGGAAACTGACTCTTAAGAGAATTCCCTGTACTTACACAGCAGGTGAATGGCAGAGTTAGAATGAGGAGAATCTAAATATTTTGACTCTCAGGTTAGGGCTTTTCTCACTATATCATCTAAACTGGGAAAATTTTGACCAAGTACAAATTTAATTCTTTAATGACACATTCAGTCTGCTACATTTGGCTCAACTAAAAATAGGATCAGTTCTCAGAGTGCTCATAGATGATGGCAGAAGCAACATCCCAATTACTGGAACTTTACAGTCATATTTGGGTTCAGTATATTAGTACTTCTTGTAGAGTTATGTTGCCAGTAAGAGGGGCTTATAGAAAATTGGTGCTGGGGAGGCAGCATGGCCTATTTTTTATAAGCAAGAAGTCAGACAGACTTGGTTTTTAATCCTGGCTTCTATCACTTATTCTATGATCTTATTCACTGTGTAACCCTTCTGTGCTTCATTTCTTCACCTGTAAAATGGAGGTAACAATATATATTTTGTAAAGCTGTTGAGAGACTAATGTAAGGAATTAGAGGGATAGTGTAGTGTCATGGTCAAATGTGTAAGCTCTGGAATTATACTACCTGGGATTGAATCTCAGCCCACTTCTTGCTAGCTGTATAACTTTGGATAAGTCACTTGTTAATATCTCAGAATTTTAGTTTTCACATATGTGAAATAAGGAAAGTAAATAGTGCATTCTTAGTTGTTGTGAGCATCAAATGAGATTTTTAAGAACTTGAGCACAGTGCTGGTGGTAGTGGAAAATTCAATACCAATTTCTCTCCCAAAGCGAAAATGAGAAAGAAAGTCACTTAGTCCTATTCTTTTCCATTTACTCTCTTCCTTCTTTTCTCTCCAACTAGAAGTTGGAGAGGAAAGAATACCAGACTATAAATCAAACACTTTGCTTTGTATATCAGTTCTGTCACATGCTATTTATGTGATTTTAATAACTTCCTTGAGGTATTTTTCCTCACCTGAGATATTTAATTATAGTTTGCTAACTGTACCAGGTTGTTGTAATGAATTCATGGATTTTTAAAGCACTTCATGAACTATGGAACACTATATAATGTGAAGGATGACTTTTATCTACCATAGATTATAAGATAGATGTTTTTACCAGTAAAAGGCAATTTTGTCACCAAGTTTTTTCTCATGGACAATTCGATCCAGTACGTTGTAACAGATGTTGGTAGTTGCTCCTTTCATCCACTCAATGAATATTTTTCCTTTAGTCACATCAAAGTTGTACTTGAGGAATGGGCCAGGACATGGGGTCTTCCAGTAAAATTCCTTGGCAATGTCTCCCCAAAACTCTGCAACAGAAAGAAAAGCCTAACATCACTAAGCTTCTCAGACATATTTATCCTCAGATGTCTTACCAGTCTATGCACAGGACCAAATCACAGCTTCCATCTATTCCCATGAGCTGAATCTTGACTCAAATTTCTTTCTTCTCTCCTCAAAATTTGCACTTCACTTTTTGCAAACTATTCCAATTGTAGCCACCCAGAGCTTATCACAATGCCTAGCACAGGGTAGGCAATTTTTTAATGAATTAATTAGTGAAAGAAAGAAATCATTTACCCACAGAGACTCCCATGACGATGTTATTGTCTTAATTTGTTCAGTCACTCTCAGCAGTTATTTAGTGAGCAGCTTTAAACGAAAACATATTTTTATTGATTTCAGAGGAAGAGGGAGGGAGAGAGAGATAGAAACATCGATGAGAGAGAATCATTGATTGGCTGTCTCCTGCACACCCCACATGGATTGAGCCTGAAACCTGGGCACATGCCCCAACCGGGAATCAAACTGAGACCTCCTGATTCATAGGTCGACACTCCACCACTGAACCATGACAGCCGGGTTGCTCTTTAGTCTATTATTACTGCCCAAGTGTTAACCTGTTCTGTGCCAGATGTTCCTCTAAGTTTTTTATATTATTCCATTTAGTCCTTACCACAGTCCTAGGAGATAGGTCTTATTTTCATTATCCTTTTATTGATTTAAAAATTTCTCAAGGTGCCCTAGCCGGTTTGGCTCAGTGGATAGAGCATCAGCCTGTGGACTGAAGGGCTCCAGGTTTAATTCCAGACAAGAGCACATGCCTGGGCTTAATCCCCAGTGTATGGTGTGCAGGAGGTAGCTGATCAGTGATTCTCTCTCATCATTGATGTTTCTATCTCTCTCTCTCCCTCTGAAATTAATTAAAATATATATACATATATTTTTAAAAATTGCCCAAGGTTATAGTTACTAAACCAAAACTTTAACTTCTCTGAGGAAGATAATTTTGCTAAAATCTGAAAGATAAATAGAAGTTTTTCTTTACTCCCCCATTAGGAAAGCGAGTACTAAGGGATGGAAAGGAACCAATGGTATATGTTAAGAAGAACTCCTTGCTGAAACCAGTTTGGCTCAGTGGTATAGCATTGGTCTGCGGACTGAAAGGTCCCAGGTTCAATTCCAGTCAAGGGCATGTACATTGGTTGCGGGCACATCCCCGGTAAGGAGTGTGCAAGAGGCAGCTTTCTCTCTCATTGATGTTTCTAGCTCTCTATCCCTCTTTTCTCCTCTCTGTAAAAAAAAGAAAAAAGAAAAAAAGAAGAACTCCTTAAGGCTGAAGCACTGAGAATCAGAGAAAGACTAGCAGGAAATGATGCATAAACTGAGCAGATTATACGATCTTTCTGGGCATGATAAGGAACTTGGTATTTATCCTAAGAGCAATGGAAAGTCATTGTAGGACTTTAAGCAGAAGAGGGACATGATAAGATTTTCAATCTTAAAATATTTGTCTGAACCCCTGGAGAAAATGCAATCAACAGGTAAAATATATAATTGCAGAGCACTTGTGATATTCTCAGTATAGGATCAGGATCTAGAGAAGAGAAAGACACCTAGAACCATAACAATGGAAGGAATTTTAGAGAGTATCATCCCTTCATTTTAGTGTTAAGAAACCAAATTCAGCCCTGGCTGGTATTCCCAGTGGTTAGTGTGTCAGCCATGCACCAAAGGATCCTGGGTTCGATTCCGGATCTGGGGCATATACCTTGGTTGCAGGTTTGATCCCGTGTCAGTAGGAGTGCGTGTGAGGCAACCAATCTATGTGTCTCTCTCACATCTCTCTCTCTCCCTCTTCCTTCCCCTCCCTCCCTTCCTAATAAATCAATGGGGGAGAGGGGTAACATCTTCAGGTGAGGATTAACAGAAAAAAATAAACCAAATTCATAGATGTAAAGTGACTGGCTTAAGGTTATGTGATTCAGTTTATACAATGTACATAGTTGGTTTTGAATGTACAAGACAATGTAATTGCACGGTATACCATTTGCAACCAATTAAAGAAATTCAAATTAAATCATTCTAAGTGCCATTATCTATATATATAAAACCCTAAGGAACCAGTCAACCGGTAGCTATGACATACACTGACCACCAGGGAGCAGACACTCAATGCAGGAGTGCTGCTCAGCCAGAAGATGGGTTCATGGCTGCTGAGCCCTAGCTTGGGCTCCTCCCTGGCTGCTGGTCACTTCAACAATGCTACATCCTCTGAGGGATCCCAGACTGTGAGAGGGTGCAGGCCAGGCTGAGGGTCCTCACCAGTGCATGAATCCATGCACCGGGCCTCTAGTATACCTATAAAAACTAGCAAAGATTTTTAAAAATTAAATATAATACCTAAGTGGCCTTAGGAAACAGATAATCTTATATGATAATTGCATTGTAAGAAATCAGTACAATCTTAGTGGATGACAGGTAAATGCCTGATAATAGCCATAAAAATCTGTATACCTTTTCATCTGAGAATTCAACTTCGGGGAATACACTCCAAGAAAATAATCCCAAAGGAAAAAAGTGATTAGTAAAGAGATATTTATAGATGATTATTTAAACTAGTAAAACTGGAAACAACCCAAAAAACTAATAATGAAAAAAAACTAGTGAAAATTAGTAATAATATAATAGACTACTAAGTGACCATTAAGAAGAAAGTGAATGAGAACTGGCCTTTTAGTGAATGCCATCCATGTACCAGGGACTGGGCTTTTCTCATTTAATCTTACATAGCCCTATGAAATAATCAATAATTATCCTAATTTTATAGATGAAAAAACTTAAGCTCAGGAAACACAGGAAAGTCTCCCAAGGACCACAAAGCTAGAAACCAATATACAAAATCAGATCCGACTCTAAAGTTCATCTGTTACATATACATTGAGCACATACGTAGACTCAAAAAATATTTTTAATATATTTTATTGATTTTTTTACCGAGAGGAAGAGAGAGATAAAGAGTTAGAAACATTGATGAGAGAGAAATATCGATTAGCTGCCTCTTGCACACCCCCTACTGGGGAAGTGCCCGCAACCAAGGCACATGCCCTTGACCGGAATCGAACCCGGGACCTTTCAGTCTGCAGGCTGACGCTCTATTCACTGAGCCAAACCGGTTTTGGCTCAAAAATGTTTTAAGTGATAATAGTAGACACAGAGAATGTAAAACTACTTATGAACTGAAATTGTGTCCATCAACAAGAAGTGAAGAAAACTGAGTTTTATCATCACTTAGTTTTGTTTTTCAGTTGTTTTGGTTTTCTTCTTGGGTGGGAGATGCAGAAATTTGGATGTTTCATTGGTACACATTTTAAGTACTGACGAAATTCAGAAGAGAAAAGGATGAGCAGACTCAGATGATCAGGGAATGTTTTGTGGAATTAGTGGGGTTTGACTACAGGAGCTGAAGGAAATGGGAAAAAGCAAGGAGGTGAGAAAAGGACTTTTGGGTATTTAGTATATCAATGAGAATGACTTGTCTAGAATGAGGAGTGTGGTAGGGAATAGTGGGAAATAAGGATAGAGAGGTAGAATGGGGTTAGTTATCCAGAGACCTTAAAATAAAAGCAGAATTTTAATTTGAAACTGTAGGAAATAGGAAACTATTAAAGTTTTTGAAGTAACATAAAAAGGCAATGTTCCAGAATATTGATCTAACAGTGTCTAGATAAATATATTAAAAATTGAAGGTGGGTGAGACCAGGAGAGAGAGAGAGAGAACCAATTAGGAGGCTGCTTCCTTGAACGAAAAGCATCTATGGAAATGGAAATAAAGGTAATCTCAGAGGCATTTTGAAATAATATTTGACAGAATTTGGAGAAAGACAGATTGTGGAGTCAGGGAAGAGAAATAGCATAGCTCTTAGGAAAATGGGTTCTTCAGGCAAGACTATCATGGTCACAAGGATGTAGAAGACCTGTACATAGAAAATTATGACACTAGCTGAAACCGGTTTGGCTCAGTGGTAAGAGCATCGGTCTGTGGACTGAAAGGTCCCAGGTTCGATTCCGGTCAAGGGCGTGTACATTGGTTGCAGGCACATCCCCGGTAGGGGGTGTGCAAGAGGCAGCTGATCGATGACTCTCTCTCATCGATGTTTCTAACTCTCTATCTCTCTCCCTTCCTCTCTGTATAAAATCAATAAAATATATTTTTTTTAAAAAAGATAGTCTGTTCAATAAATGGTGTTTGGAAAAATGAACAGATATGTGCAAAAAAAAAAATGAAACTAGACCACCACCTTACATCATACACAAGAATAAACTCAAAATGGATGAAAGACTTAAATGTTAGACTCGAATCATAAAAATCCTAGATGAAAGCATAGACAGTAAAATCTTGGATATTTCTCATAGCAATGTATTTTCTAATATATCTCCTTGGGCAATGGAAACAAAAGAAAAAATAGGCAAATGGGACTACATCAGACTAAAAAGTTTTGCACAGTAAAGGGAACAATCAACAAAATGAAAAGACAGCCCATTGCAAGGAAAACATATTCACTATTAATTCATCTGATAAGAGGTTAATATTCAAAATTTATAAAGAACTTAATGTCATCAATCATCAGAGAAATGCAAATTAAAACCACAATAAACCCTGCCTGGTGTGGCTCAGCTGACGGAAGCACTATCCCATACACTAGAAGATGGCTGGTTTGATTCCCAGTCAGAGCACATACCCAGGTTACAGGTTTGATCCATGGTTGAGGCACATGAGGCAGCAACGGATTGATGTTTCTCTCTCAAAAATCAGTTTTTAAAAACCCACAATGAGATATCACCGCACACCTGTCAGAATGGCTATTATTAATAAACTTGTGTATGGGTAGAATCCTTAGTGGCTACCAGCCAGGGCCTCCCTTCCCCAGCTGCCTGCTTCCACCACCCTTAGCACCAGCCTTGGCCTTGCCCCACCCGCTCAACTGCTCCACCAACCCACTGCAGTGCCCAGGGCCCATCAGGGCAGCAGTGCCTCATCATCAACGCCTGCCATGTTCCGTACTGCCCCCTAGTGGTCAGCGCATGTTGAACTCCCAATCTGTGGACACCCCACCACCACCACCACCGGCTCCCCCCCCCCCCCCCCCCCCGCCCCTAAGAACAATTTGCATATTATCCTTTTATTATCCAGGATCAACAAACAATTGTTGGCAAAGGTGTGAACAAAAGGGAACTCTTGTGCATTGTTGGTAGGAATTCAGACTGGTGCAGCCACTATGGAAAGCAGTATGGAGTTACCTCAAAAAATTAAAAGTTCCACTTCTGCGAATCTACCTGAAGAAACTTGAAACATTAATTAAAAAAGAATATATGCACCCATGTGTTCACTGCAGCATTATTTACAATAGCCAATATTTGAAAGCAACCCAAGCACCCATCAGTAAATGAGTGGATAAGAAAGCTGTGGTACATTTATGAAGAAGAAAGAAGAAAGAAGAAAGAAGAAAGAAGAAAGAAGAAGGAAGAAGGAAGGAAGAAGAAGGAAGAAGGAAGAAGGAGGAAGGAGGAAGAAGGAAGAAGGAAGGAAGAGGAGGAGGAAGAGGAGGAGGAGGAGGAGGAGGAGGGGGAGGAGAAAGAAGAAAAAGAAGAAAAAGAGGAGGAGAAGGAAGAGGAGGAGGAGGAAGGAGGGAAGGAGGAAGAAGGAAGAAGGAAGAAAGAAGGAGGAGGAGGAGGAGGAGGAAGGAGGAGGAGGAGGGAAGGAGGAAGAGGAAGGAGGAAGAAGGAAGAAGGAAGAAAGGAGGAGGAGGAGGAAGAGGAGGAGGAGGAGGAGGAGGAGGAGGAGGAGGAGGAGGAGGAGGAGGAGGAGGGGGGAATCCTACCTTTTGCAACAGCATGGATAGACCTGGAGAGTATTTATGCTAAGTGAAATAAGCCAGTCAGAGAAAGACAAATACCATATGCTTTCACTTATATGTGGAATCTAATGAACAAAACAAACCAACAAACAAAATAAAAAGATTTGTAGATACGGAGAATAGACTGACAGCTATCAAAGGGGAAGGGTTGGGGGGCAAGGTGGAAAAGGTAAAGGGATTAAGCAAACCACAAATAAACTCATAAACAGACAACAGTATGGTGATTACCAGAAGGAAAGGGAGTAAAAGAGGGATAAATGGTGATGGAAGGAGACTTGAGATGGTGAACACAAAATATAATGTACAGATGATGTATTATAGAATAGCGCCTCTTAAGCCTACATACTTTTATTAATCAATATCACCCCAATAAATTCAATAAAAAAGACTACAGTGGTTCAAATCCCAGCTCTACAACTAAGTAGCTTTGTCACCTTGTCCAAGTTAGTTATCCTCTCTAAGTTTCAGTTTCCTTCTCTGTGAAATGTGTTTGAGTAACCTTCTCTTACATCAAATCAAACATGATTTCTGATAAACAAGTAGTAAGAACACTATAAATAAGATATGTAAATAGACCTTATTAGGGGAGAAGATGATGAGAGATTTAAAGTTTGTGATAGAGACACTGGCAGAGATTAGAAAATTAGGTAGGTGTGCAGGTTTGGGGGTGAAAATTGGTAAATCCAAGTCTCAGTTATATTGAATACATATGATTAAAATCGTCTATGGAGTTATAAATTTGGAGCCAGATCATCAGTGAGATCCTGGGTACAGAGATAAATGTATAGAATAGGAGTTATTATTGTGGCAGTTATAGCTCACCCCTGGGAAACAGATACAATCACAATGGGATAAAATATAGAGAGGACGAGAGAAGTGAAAAGAGGTCTAAAGACTCAAACTTGGACACTGTCTGCAGCAATCAATGGCTCTACACTTGATTCAATCCTGTCTTGCATTATTCAGTAATGGCTTTATCCATGTCGCTTTTATTATCAAACCAACAATCATTTATTGACTATCTCATATGTTGCACCAGACACTCTATAATGCACACTTTACTTATTACCCACTTTTGTCATCATACAAAACTATGAAACAAGCATTATTATCCCTAACTTACAGATAAAGAAAAGGAATATCAGAAAGACTTTAAAAATCTGCTAAGCAGACTCTCCCTCCTCCCCACGTGGGAGTCTGTGCTGTGGGACTCTTGTCCCTCCCCACGTGGGAGTCTGTGCTTGTTTCTCAATACATTTCCACCTTAAATAAATATATATATATATCTTAAAAATCTGCCTAAGACCATCCAGTAAATGAGTGGTAGAGCCAGAATCAAAATCTAGATTTTTCTGGGTTGGATTCCTGGCTTGTGCCAGTGCCAAACACCATGCTGCCTTCAACAGTGTTGATGCCTTCCTCAGGCTGAGGGGCAAGGCCAGGCAACTTTGCTCACACGTTCTTAAGGACATGCACCTGCCTATCAGAATTTCTGAGTTATTTCCAGCCCCGCTCACAGGGAAAACAAAACAAAACAAAACAAAACCTTGGCTGAAATGTGACTTGTTCAGTCTTGAATTAGGATCATTTAAATATTTCTGGAATATTAAAAATAGATCTGGGACTTAATTACCAATTGTGGGAACCCCAGAACGGGAAACAGACCAGTTCCTGCCGCCCCTCAGCAGCGGAGACGAACTCACTGGCTCCGGGTGTCGGGAGGCAGCGGCCGAGCTGGTGTGAGCCGGGCGGGCGAGGCATGCTCCCCTCGGGGCCTCCTCTCCTCAAGGTGCCCCCTCGCCCCTGGGAACCCCACTTTCCCCCTTAGGAGTCTCCCTCTTCTCGTGACACTTTCACTCTCCTCACAGGACCCCCACATCTCAGGAAACCCCCACAAGCCGCCGGGAAAGCCCTCCAATGCCTAGGGAGCCCTCATCTCCTCCCACAACGGAACCCCCCTTTCTCAGAGAATCCCTGTCTCCCCCCCCCCAACCCCTGGTCCATCTCCTCCCGAACCCCTAGTCCATCTACGCCGCAACTCTCCTCACCCACAGCCTGCATCTCCTCACGGACCCCTCCACTTCCTGAGGGGGGTCCCCAACTCTTCTAGGAACCCCCATCTCCTCTCGGAACCCCGGTCCCCCACCCCGACCCCTCACGGAACGCGCCCAACCCCTCCCCTCCCGGGGAGCCGCTCCTCTCCCCGCTGACGTGTCCCCCCGCCCCGGGGCGCGCGGGCGCGGCCTCACCTCGCGGCTCCTCCACGGAGCGCCGGTGCAGCTCGCGGTAGCGCGGCAGCGAGGAGACGTGCGCGGCGCGGCGGAGCTCGGGCGGCGGCGACCAGCTCCGCGGCCGGCTGGGCGCGCCAGCCTCCCCCCGGGCCCCGCCGCCGCCGCCGCTCCGGCCCCGCTCCTCAGGAAGCCCCATAGCGCCCAGCTGCGAGCGCACTAACCGTTTCTGCGGTTGTCGGGGGCGAAAAACAGGCCGCCCGGGGTGGGGCCTTGGGGAAGGGGGCGGGGCCTGGTTGTGGGCGTGGTCTGTGTGGGCGTGGAGGGGCGGGGCTGCCCGGAGGGCCGGGGCCACGCCTTCTGGGAGCCGGACCAGGTCGGCGGAGGCAGGAATAGGGGAACGGGGAGCACGGCTCAGGTACTGGGAGAGGAGGTGCTCTCCGCATAAGGGGTGGGGCCGTGGCTTAAAAGGAGAAGGGGCGAGGCCGGGTGTGGCAGGAGAGGGGGTGGGGGAGGATTCTGTATTGACAGAGGGGTGGCAGGCGTGACAGGAGAGGAGGCGGGCCCATGCAGTAGCCGGGATGGGGTGGGGCTTGGGGCTGGCGGATGACAGGTTGGGTTAAGGCGGGGCTTGAGCGGGAAAAAGCTTGACTAACCGAGAGGACGCGGGTCAAGTTCAAGGTGTAGTCTCCCGGAGATCTGATTGCACAAGCCTGTCGCCCACAGAGTTGAAAAGCCTAGTGGAGTAGGGTGTGGCCTTTTTTTTTTTTTTTGGTATCTTCTGGGATCACTTTCCCTCAAAGTAAACTCTTCCCCTCCGCGTCTTCAGGAAAAAAAAAAAAAAAATCCTCCCACGAACGCGTAGGGCATGGCCCCTCTCTATTACCGTTTGTTTGTGCTAGCTCAGATTTTCTCACACCCCTGAGGATATATCTTCACTCTCCCTGGCTCCACAAAGTCCCATCCAGCTCTAACGTACAAGATTCATTGAAGAGTAGGAGGTGTGTTCAGGTCTTTGCTAATAAACCTACCTCCTCATTGCACAAATGGTATAGTTGGGGAAAAGGAATGTGTGCAAGGTCACAGAGCAAAACAATAACCAAGTTAGGGCCAAACCTTAGTTTCTTGACTCCAAGTCTTTTTTACCTCCTCACAAGCCAAGGCTTGTGAAATCCTGTACCAAAGGCTATGCAAATAGGAGAAATCATTCATATCTTTCTTTCCTTCCCGGTCTCTTGACTTTACCAAGCGACCACGCCCGCCTGCCACACCTGGGCTCAATTACCACTAGCTTCTGTCTATCTGTTCCACTCCAGAAAGGAGGGGCCAGGCAGGACCCTCAGTCTCCCATCTGCACTAACCACCAAGAAAAGCCCATTCCATCCATCCGTTCACAAAGTGGTTGTCAAGGCAAGAAGGAACCTTAAATATTTAGCTCTAAGCGTGATTTTGAGACCCAAAGCTGACAACCCCCATCTCCTGAAGCCTACACAGGGTTTGTGACCACAACAGGCCCATCCTCCTTTCCCACCTGTTCCCTTGTTCTCTGCCCAGCTAACGACAAACCCGGCACACCTTAAACGGAAAATAATATGTCCATGTTCAAACCTATGATCCAGAGCCTACCCAGTCCTGAGGGGAGCGTCTCAGATCTCATGGGGTGAGCATGGACCCCACAGAGAAGACAGATACTTTATTGAAGAGACATTACACTCAGCAGACACACATCTCACTGAAGGTACATGGACTCCACGAAGGGAGCACAGATCTTGCTGGGGGGAGGGAAGGTCTCAGTTCTCACCGAAGGGCTATGCACCCTGCTAATAAAACTTGAATGGATTACGGAGGTCACTTACTTACCCTACTGAGGGGACATGGATTTCCTTCTAGGAGATACTAAAGATATAGATTTTTACTAAAATTATATTGACCCCACTGAAGGGACTCACACACCACTGAGGGAATGGACATCAATGACGAGACACAGACCTCATTTAGTTAAGACATGCCCTACTGGGGGGATAATATTTTACTGAAGCATGATAACCCCTATGAACTTCACTGAGAAGATACTAGCTCCTCTGTGGGGAGAAAGGCACAAGCAATGGGCATGCAGTTCCAGGTGTGGACAGTCACAGCTTTGGGCAGCCAGCCCTCTTCCTCTCCCCTCTCCAAACCTTCTCCCAAGTCCTAGAGCTGTTCCCAACCCATTACTGCCCCCTTCTGTCTACAGGTATCAATGCATGTTCGAGGCCCATAATAGATCCCGCCACCTTTCCCTCCAACCCCACTTCCCCTTACCCCTATCCCCAGTAGATTTTCAAATTGTCCTGGAGTGAAAGAGGGGATGCATGCCCAGGGGCTTGACCAGCCCCCTCCCTCATCCTCCCTGTGAACTGCATGAAGAAAGTTTGGACAAGAAGCCTAATAAAGACTGAACCCCTAATCCTTGGAGATGGGAAAGTAATGCAAGCTGCCGAAACCGGTTTGGCTCAGTGGTAGAGCATCGGTCTGCAGACTGAAAGGTCCCAAGTTCGATTCCAGTCAAGGGCATGTACATTGGTTGCGGGCACATCCCCGGTAGGGGGTGTGCAAGAGGCAGCTGATCGATGTTTCTCTCTCATCGACGTTTCTAGCTCTCTATTTCTCCCTTCCTCTCTGTAAAAAATCAATAAAATATATATATATTTTTAAAAAAGTAATGCAAGCTATCGTGTAGTCGGAATTCTTAAGAGTGGAATGAGATGAGAATCCACAAGATTAAAGACATGAAAATGGTAATAATGGCATTTATTGAGTAGGGCCAAGACCTACACTAAAAGCTTTCTCCCTGTTACTTAATCCTCACAACAACCCCCTGAGATGGATACTATTAATCTCTCCAGTTTTCAGATGAGGAAACTGATACTGAAGAAGATTAAGTGTCTTGCCCAAGACCTCACAGTTTGTAAGTAGTAGTACAGGAAATAGAATACAAACACCTAGACTACAGAGACCCGCTCCCCACTGCCTCCACCTCACTCCTGCCATACCTTCATGACCATTGTTCCTTTCTTACAGCACTCTTTCCAGAACCACATCAAAAACTCTTAAAATGATAGTAAATATTCAGGTTCCAGAGACACACACACCCCCACACCCCCACCCCCACCCCCACCCCGTCTCTGAGTCCTGAATCCTGCTCTCCAGAGTGGAATCTGGGCGTTGGCTCTTAGGGATCCTAATACACACTGAGTTTAGGTCAGGGGTACCAGAAGGGGCTGGGCTTGGAAGAGGCGTCTGAGAAGCGTGGGGGATCCAGTGAGGGATCTGACGCCTGAGATGAGAACGGATGTCCAAAGGAGGGACGCAGTCTGAGGATGAAGCAGGTGCTGGAGAGGGGCAGGGGCAAGGGGCGGGGGGTAAGGTCGAAAGAAGAATCTGGGGAAGGAGGAGGAGGAGGAGGAGAAGGAGGAGGAGGAGGAGGAGGAGGAGTCTGACATCGGAGGAAAAGGACCTTAGAATCCACGAAAGGGTCTGGGATCTGGGGAGTTTGGGATCAGAGGAAGAACCGGGGTCGAGGAGAGGTTTACGGCCCGTGGAAGAGACGGAGGTCTCAAAGGGGGATTCTAGCTCTAACTGGAAGAGGGGATCTGGCCCCCGGGGCTGCATAAAGTGTCCTGGATCACTGAGATCGCGCTTGCAACGCGCTCTTCTCCTCTATCTCCCACTTCGCCACCCGGAACTGCCCTCCGGCCTCTGCAAACACAACCGGCTCTCCACCTGCGCGCCTGCAGCGAGCTGGCAGCGCCGAGCGGGGCGGGAGCGAGGCAGACCCGACAGGCGCTAGGGTGGGGGTGAGGCGCCCCCTCCCGGCGACCCGGGAGCGCAGGCCCCTCCCACCCCCCCACCCCCCCCCCGCATCACTTCCGGCAGGCGCTGCGCTGCTGGGGGGCGCGGGTGAGGATGGCGGCGGAGAACCAGGCCAGTCAGGAGAGCGCTCTGGGCGCCTACTCGCCAGTGGACTACATGAGCATCACCAGCTTCCCGCGGCTGCCGGAGGATGAGCCGGCTCCCGCGGCCCCTCTGAGGGGCCGCAAGGACGAGGACGCCTTCTTGGGAGACCCCGATACAGGTGAGGCCCGCTGCCCTCATCCCCCCCCCCCCCGCACCCTCCATCCCCATCCCTGCCCCCTGGGATGCCCCTGGTCCTTCATCTGGACCGAGCATCACCTCCCAGGCTCCATCTCCCGAATGTATTCCCTTCCTCCTGGACCTTTCTCTTCTTTTTTTCCTGTTAATTATCTGATGGGGCTGGAAGCGCATCTCTGCCTTTGGAGTCCTAGGATGCGACAAGGGAGAGGGATGCCAGAGACTGCAGTAGGAGGGATGGGGGTTGCCTTTTGGGAAGAACCAAAGGACAAGGAAGGAATGTTGGAGGGGAGATCCTGAGGCACAGCTGTCATCACCCAGAAGAGGCTTTTCTCCAGTCACAGAGAACAGGATAGAAGAAACCAAGTCAGAGATTGCAGCAGGATGAATAGAGGCTAGGTCTTAAGAACTTCCCACAGCCAGGGATTGTGGGAAGGAGTGACCATGGGGGAGAAGCTGAGGCTCTCTTCATGGCCAGGGAGGGATAGAGAGAATATGATTCTGCCTGTGTGTATGTGCTGGGTATTGGGAGACAGGGGGGTGAACTGAATGACCTCTCAAAGTCCTTGGGGACCAGAGTGCCTTTGCTGCCCTGTGGTTTCCCTCATCCCCACCAGAGCCATGGATCAGGCCGGGATGTTAGTAAGGTGCCCTAGAAGCAGGCTCCAGAATTTTACTGTGTTCTCTTCAGCCCTCTGCAGAGACTGCAGGGGTGGGAGTAGGGAGGGAGGAGACAGTGCTTGGGGGAGACCTGAGGGCCAAAAGCTCTCGGAGCATGTCTTCCCTAAGTGCTCTCTCTGCTGTCCATGTGGCCCAGCTCCGTTCTTCATCCTCCACCCTCCATCCCCCACCCTTCTTTCCCTCCACGTCACTTCCTGGCATTAGAGCATCCTTCTGCTTCACTCTCTGCCTCCCAGTGCCTGCACTTGAGTCTTATCCCTTACCAGCCTGGCAGGCCTTGCTTCTCTGGTTCAGCCCTCACTAGCCTAGCTCTTCTATAGTTACTCCCACTCTGACAGCCCCAAATTCTTTCCCCTTCCACAGCTTCCTGGTTATCTGGCCCTGACCACCAGCCCCTGCTAACCTAACTAGACCATACCTCGCCTGGAGGGGGTGAGAGGGGACAATAGGAAGCCTTATGGGCATCAAAAGTCAAAGCTGCAAATTAAAATAATTTTTTCCAGAGGGAGTAGCCCTGGAATTAGGAGATATCAGTTAGAGGGGTGGGAAGATGTGTCCTGGTAGTTTCCAGTATGAACCAGGTTCATTATTCAGGGTTAGGAGTGCCAGTTCTGTCCCAGCATTGTCCTGATTCACTGTGTGACCATGGGCACACTTATCCTGAGCTTCCCCTTCCAGCTCAACTGGGAATGCCTATCTCTCCCAACCTAGAGATTGGAAGCCCCTGTTTTCTCCTGGCCCCATATAAATGCATTTATCAAAACCTGTGTTATTTATTTGTGTGATCTGTAATTACTCAATGTCTGTAAACCCTATGAGGATGGGATCATGACTGTTTTGTTCACCATTCAACATAGTGCTAAGCACTCAGTAAAAATTGTTGAATAGATAAATGAATAAGGAAGAAGATCTCAGGGTGAAAGAATGGCAGCAGAGGGAGTTCTCAACTCAGGGAGTACTGTGGTGAGTTAATACAGACCCTGCCCTAATCTGTACAAAAATCCAGATGAGTCCCTGGTCACCTGCATTGCTGGGAACCTATACTTTATGCCACGGTTGTGCACTAAGGTTCCAAGGAACTTGCCATCATACCTGTGTGGTCGTTTCAATGCCATGTCTCCAAGCACTGCTTCAAAGCACCATGACTCCTTTGGCCCAGCTGGACCAGCCTTCTGGCTAACGTGGCCTCCTATGTTCTCAACCTATGTTCACAATACCTTGTGGCATTGCCCCTTCCTCTTATCCAGAACCATGGCTGTGTCCAGCTAGCCTCTTGCCTGCCACACCCTAGAATCAAGTGTTGGGCACCCCACAGCAAATCCTGTGGAAAACAGAGATAGGTACCTGGCCAACGTGACTCAGTGGTTGAGTGTTGATAAATGAATCAGGAGGTAACAGTTCAATTCCGGTCAGGGCACATACCTGGGTTGCGGGCTTGATCTCCATTGTGGGGCATGCAGGGGGCAGGTGATCAATGATTTTCTCTCACCATTGATGTTTTCTTTTGTATTTTTTAATATATTTTATTGATTTTTTTACAGAGAGGAGGGGAGAGGGATAGAGAGCTAGAAACATCGATGAGAGAGAACATCTACCAGCCGCCTCCTGCACACCCCCCACCAGGGATGTGCCTACAACCAAGGTACATGCCCCTGACCAGGATCGAACCTGGGACCCTTCTGTCTGCAGGCTGACATTCTATCCACTGAGCCAAACCGGTTTTGGCACCATTGATGTTTCTAACTCCCTCTCCCTTCCTCTCTGAAATCAACAAATATATATATATATATATATATATATATATATATATATATATATATATATATATACACACACACACACACACACACACACGCACGCACGCGCACACACACACACACACAACTGGGAGATAACCACTCCAAGTTTGGAGTAATAGAGTAATACTGTCTTTTCTCTCTTCTGAGTTCCAGGCCCAGGTGTTCCTCTCTATTCCAGGCATTTGCTTCCAGACAGATGTCCTGCAAGGACTTCACCTTCAGCATTGTCTATGCTGAACTCATCATCTCTTCTCCATCTGCCTGCTCTTCTCCCAATGTCATTCTCCATGAATAGTACTGCCTTTCATCCAGTCTCCAAGGTAGAAGCTCAGGAGCTACCCATCACCCCCCCTCTTCCTCTTACTTCCAAATGGTGATCAAATGTTTTATGTCCCCCCTCCTAGATATCTTTCAAATTCCATCACACAATTCCCGTCAGCACCACTGTAGACTAAGCCTTTATTCTTTCTTATCTGTATTACCCATAGGCTTCTACCGTGTTTCCCCGAAAATAAGACAGCCTCCAAAAATAAGACCTAGTGCATGGAAAGATAAGACATCCCCTGAAAATAAGACCTAGCGCAACTTTGGAAGAAAAAATTAATATAAGACACTGTCTTATTTTCGGGGAGACAGGGTAGCTCTTCTTCCTGTCTCTGCCTCCCACTCAATCCCAATCCATGCACTTCATATACATAATATATATACACATATATGTTATTTTTATTGATTTCAGAGAGAAAGGGAGAGGGAAAGATGGAAACATCAATGATGAGAATCATAGATAGGCTGCCTCCTGAATGCCCCCCACTAGGGATCAAGCCTGAAACCTGGCATGTGCCCTGACAGGGAATTGAGCCATAACCTCTTGGTTCATAGGTCAACACCCAACCACTGAGCCATGCTGGCCGGGCACACCCTGCACTTCTGATCATGTCACTCCTGGGGAGGGTTCAATAATCTTTAGTGATTCTCCCCTTCAGGAAATAATCATTCCAGAAAGGACCTCAATCTCCAGCCAAGATCTCTCTCATTAGCTCTAGATTTGTCAAGTTGACTCTATTTTGGGTTCTTTTGTCATAAACTTGGCTCAAACTGAGCTATATCTAAAACGAGAATTTTATTAGGTAGCATAACTGAAAAGTTCAGGGGTATGGGGCTTTATCCAAAACTGTATGGAGGTGCCTAAAAAGGAATGGGCTTTACTCCATTTTTTTTTTTTTTTTTTTTTTTTTTTTTTTTTTTTTTTTTTTTTTTTTTTTTGCTTTGCTTTGCTTTGCTTTGCTTTGCTTTGCTTTACTTTTTATGGGCTTATTCTTCAGAAAGCTTTCCATTTTATCAGGACAAGTTGCCCCCAGCAACAACAGGCTTACATCTTATTACCTTAGTAACCTAGATAGAAAGACAGCTTTCCCAATAGTTCCAGCATAAAAACAAAGATTGAACCTAATTGACCTGGCACTGGTCATATGCCTGTCCCTGAACCAATCACTGTATAGAAGTGCCTGTTTTGATTGGCTAGGCCTAGGTCATAAACTTATTCTAGTCTGTAATGAGGGAATGAGGCATGATAAAGGAAGTAATATTATTTAAAAGAAAATGGAATGGGGAATGGTATCTAAGCAGAAAAAATTAGGTGGCTACTAGGTCTGCTGCCTTCAGACAATTCTTGCTGTTTGTTTTTTTCCCCACAAATTCAGAATAACTAAAATTAAACTCATCTTTCTCCCAAAAGACTTGTTTATTCGGGTCCCAAAACTAACCTTTTCACAGTGTCCTGCTGTTGCTTTATACATATACATATATATATATATATATATATATATATATATATATATATATATTTGATTTTTTACAGAGAGGAAAAGAGAGGGATAGAGAGTTAAAAACATCGATGAGAGAGAATCATTGATCAGCTGCCTATTGCACGCCTTCTACTGGGGATGTGCCTGCAACCAAGGTACATGCTCTTGACCGGAATCAAACCTGGGACCTTTCAGTCCACAGGCCAACTTTCTATCCACTGAGCCAAATCAGTTTCATCCTGCTGTTGCTCTTACATATCAGTAAAATCAATGATATTATTGCCTCAGTACTTACACAATAGGGTACTCAATAAATACTTCCGTTGAATAAATCAGTAACTTAATAATTGGTGAAATTAAAAAAAAAAAATCTCGAGTAGCTCCATCTCTGATATCACCTTCATCTCCTGGTTTCTCATACCTGACTGGAGATAACAGATTTAAGGGCAAGTACCTGGAAATATCAAACTAAAATTGCTTTGTAAGGTTGGTTTTTGAGGGGGAAAATGGCTCCTGATGACATGTGGAGCAATGAAAAGGAAGTTTTTGAGTTACACAAACTCTTGGTTCCACCATTTATTTATTTATAACCTTAAGCAGGCAGTATCACCTGTCTCAGCCCCAGTTTCCTCATCTTTAAAATGAAAAGAATGGGTTTATCTTATAAAGTTATGGGAACACTTCCATGAGGAAATGTATGTAAAGTGCCTGCGAATGCAGTCAGTCTCAATAAATATAAGTTCCAAACCTTTTCCTGAGTTCTTTTGAAACCTCTAGGTGCCAAAGAGAGTTCTGTGCCCAGAATAGGAGTTTTAACATCTGTTCAATGAATTCCAATTTTATTTACAGATCCTAGTACTGAGCATTAGACACAAGCATGATCAACTGAAACAGGTTTCCGGAAGACCATCTTCCTTTTTAAATAAAAATTTAAAAATAAATTACATGTTCATGGTAAAAATAAATAAACAAACAAATGAATAAACAAGGAATAGTGAGGAAAAGTTCCCTTCTCCATTGTTGTCTTCCTGTAATTTTTCCTTTTTATCTAAAGATATATGTATTAATTAAAATATATAAATAGTAAAAATTCAAACAAAATATTCTCCCACCCTACCTTTAGGATCATTTCCCAAAAGTAATGACCATAAATAATTTACATAACAGAAGAGTGTGGATTATGAAGGGCCTTGACCAACAGGTTAAGGAGTTTAGACTTTTATCATGTTGGCATTGGTGAACCAATTTTAGGTAGGAAACTATAACAGTCAATTTTTTTTTTTTTTTTTTTTTTAAATATATTTTATTGATATTTTACAGAGAGGAGAAAGGGAGAGAGATAGAGAGCTAGAAACGTCGATGAGAGAGGAACATCGACCAGCTGCCTCTTGCACACCCCCCACCGGGGATGTGCCCGCAACCAATGTACATGCCCTTGACCGGATTCGAACCCGGGACCTTCAGTCCGCAGACCGACGCTCTACCACTGAACCAAACCGGTTTCGGCAACAGTCAATTTTTAATATTATCCCACAGACTTTTAAAAAGGTTATACTCCTAGTATATTTATTGAATGAATGCACTTTTATTTTTAATATATTTTTATTGTTGATATTATTGCAAATATTTCCCATTTCTTCTCCCCTTTCCCCCTTCCTCCCAGCCCCTATATCCTCCCCTCAGCTCTTTACCACCCTATTGCCCATGTCCATGGGAAGAATGCACTTTTAAAAAACACATTGTGAGTACAGCAAGGTATTAAGGTACCAAGCTAAGGACCTTTAGGACATTTAAAAGCCTGGGTTCAAGGCCATTAGCACCCAGGAGAGGGAACTATGGGATAGAAGAGGGTCTCTCTCAGTGTTGCTCAAGGTTGCAAAAGAATGGAAATAACTTTGAGTGGCACTTCTGGGGTGCTTGGTATACATCACTTCATGGACTCTCTGTGCCACCCAGCCCGTTAGGGATTCGTTCCATTATTAGGATGCAGAAAGTGAAACTTATAATTTGAAGTGACTTATCCATAGTTACTCAGCAAGTGAAGTGGCTTTTAAGTCTTTCTGCCTCCACGCCTACATCCTCAGATCCATTCTCCAGATAGCAGCCAGAGGGATGGTTTTTTGTTTGTTTGTTTTTTAATGTGTTTTTATTGATTTTTAGAGAGGAAGGGAGAGAGAGAAAAAAAAAAAAACAAAACATAAATCGGCTGCCACCTGCACATCCTTACTGGGAATTGAGCCCAAAAACCTGGGCATGTGCCCTTGACTGGGAATCAGTCGGGTGACCTCTTAGTGCATGGGAGGACACTCAACCTACCGAGCGACAATGACCAGGGCCAGAGAGGTCTTTTTAAAGCATAAAACAGATAGCTTCACATTCTCCCTTCAATGGCCTCCCATGCCATTACGGTAAAATTCAAGCTTTTCACTAAGCCAAGGCCCAGTGATCTGCCCCGGCCTCCACCCCACAGCTCACTACACTGGAACCACACAGAGCGTGGTTATTTTTTCTTCTTATGTGCCATTTCATTCCTACCTTAGGGCCTTTGCACCTGCTGTTCCTTCTTTCTGGAACACTAAGTACTCACCACTTGCTCTACATATGGGTGGCTCCTGCTCATCCTTTAGTTCTTAGCTTAAAAGTCACTTCTAAGCTAAGAGGCTGCTGAGAGGCTGGGGCTGATTTCCCCAGCTAAGCAGACCCCAACACTGTTGTCTTATTTCATCCTTTTTATTTACTTGTAATTATGTGCTCATCTGTTTACTTCTTTATTGCCTTCTTTCCCCATTGATCTGCGAACCCCAGAGGGTTTCCCCTAGCATCTAGCATAGGTCCCGAAACATAGCAGATCCTCCATATTTGTTGAATGAATGAATGAATGAATGAATGAAGCAAGGTTGGAAGCCAAGGTCTATCCACTCAGTGTAGGTTAACTGCCTCCTTGCATAGAAGGCTGGGCCCAGCTCTGGGAGTATCTGGTTTCCAGGGAGGGTCCAACTCCCGCCTCTCCAGGAAGTGTTCTCAGTCGTGGGTCCCGGGTGCTCAGGGAATTTGGCCTAGGGACAGTAATCCAGCTGCCCAGCATCCCTGCTGGTGCTCCCTGTCTCTTCCCAGCCCAGACTGCCCCCCTCACCCGCCCTGGGGTGCATGGGGGTGGGTAGACGCTGGTGATCTATATTGGGGTTTGTTTGACGGGAGTGCGGGGCGGTGGGGGCGGGGGGGCGGGTAATACCCCGACTGGAGTGCTGCTGGGCGGGTAAGAGACTGACACCACCTCCTCTGCGACCGCTCACTCCCACCTCCGCTCCTCGCCGCCCGCAGACCCGGACTCCTTCCTGAAGTCCGCGCGCCTGCAGCGGCTGCCCTCGTCCTCCTCGGAGATGGGGAGCCAGGACGGGTCGCCTTTGCGCGAGACCCGCAAAGACCCGTTCTCCGCCGCGGCCGCCGAGTGCTCCTGCCGCCAGGACGGGCTCACGGTCATCGTCACGGCCTGCCTCACCTTTGCCACGGGCGTCACCGTGGCGCTCATCATGCAGATCTACTTCGGGGACCCTCAGGTGAGAAGACGGTGGGCATTGGCTGGCTGAGGGTGGAAGCGGGGGACCCTCAGGTGAGAAGACGGTGGGCATTGGCTGGCTGAGGGTGGAAGCGGGGGACCCTCAGGTGAGAAGACGGTGGGCATTGGCTGGCTGAGGGTGGAAGCGGGGGACCCTCAGGTGAGAAGACGGTGGGCATTGGCTGGCTGAGGGTGGAAGCGGGCCGGGCATTGGAAACGGGGGAGGAAGGTCCCAGGGGGAGGGGGTGGCTCGAGGCTTGAGGGGGAACAGAGCAAGGAAGGGACTGATCAGAGAGGAGGGGTGAATCCAGGGGGCAAGAGGACAGGGCTTGCACCAGCACCCCACCCCCCACCCCCGTGGTGGTTCTGGGGTTAGTGGGGGTACCCTAGGGAAGCAGGGGGCTTTTCCTGTCCCCAACCAGCCCCTTCCCTCTCCCAGATCTTCCACCAGGGCGCCGTGGTGACCGATGCTGCCCGTTGTACCTCGCTGGGCATTGAGGTGCTCAGTAAACAGGGATCTTCTGTGGACGCAGCTGTGGCAGCGGCCCTGTGTTTGGGAATCGTGGCTCCTCACAGTTCTGGCCTGGGCGGGTAAGGAGCGCCCCACGGTTGGGGTCCCCCAGGTCTCACTCCCTGTCCTGGTCTGTAGACCTCATTGGGGGAGGGGGGTCTCCAAGTTTGAGCAGAGAAACAGGTGGCCCCAACTCTTTGCATTTGCTTTCTACACACACACAATTTCATCCCTTTCTTCCATAATGTCAGAGGAGGCGTTTTCAAAGCCTTTTCTTTAAAAAAAAATTTTTTTTTTTTTTTTTTGGAAAACGATGTTGTCCATTGTAACGTGAGGTGCACAGGTAGGGGTATACTGTAATTAATTACCTGTAATTAATTACGGCAGCGATACTTAACCTTTCGGGCTCACAAATCCGTGAGTCTGACGAAAGCTATGGACTCTCTAAGCTCCAAAAAATACACCCCCCCACTAAGAATTCTTGAAACAGAGGTGACACATTGGCCACCCAGGGGCCATCCCCAGCACACGGACAGGTTTGGTTTGCAGACTTAGATTTTTTTTTTTTTTAAATGTGTTTCCTATTGTTAAAAAGTTGAGAATTTCCAACATCTCTTGAGCCTGAAGAGACCTGGTAACACAGTTCCCTATGACTGCAACGATCTGGACCTGAGTAGAAGCCGCTTCCCATTCTGTGCCTCCCACTTTGCCACAGTGCTACACTCCTTAGTTGCTGGGCTGCAGGCCACCATCTCAGATGCTACCACCGTCTCAAATGGAAACACGTCACAGAAAAGGGACAAGCTGACCAAGTCCGTGTCTTGGTTCCTGTAAGGCCAGTCTTCCAGACCCTACCAAGAAAATCCCCTTTTGTTTTTGCACAGTCTGTTCTTACGTAATTCAGTCCTGGGAGCGGGAGTGGAGGCATACCAAGGAGGCAGGTGCAGGAAGCTGGCAGGGGTCCAGCTATGGTCTGGGGCGGGGGGAGAACATCCTGCTCTCCCAGTCTCTGTTTCTTTGTGTTTTGCTTTTTTTTTTTTTAAGTCAGGGATTAAAGTCTCCAGTGACAGGCTGAAAGAAGTCCTTGAACTCTGGATCCCTGCCTTGTGGGGCGGCTGAATCTCTGAATCCCTATTTGGGAGGGGGCTCAAACACTTGCCTCCTGATGACAAACTAAGCCTACAGCCATCACCATTGGGAGTTGAAGGGTGGCAGGTTAACTGTTCAGAGGGGTAGCGTCTTTTCATCACCACCCGCCCCCTTCTGTGTCTGTTCTAGCGGGGGTGTGATGCTGGTACATGACATCCGACGCAACGAGAGCCACCTAATTGATTTCCGGGAGTCTGCACCAGGGGCCCTCCGGGAAGAGGCCCTGCAGAGATCCTGGGAAACCAAGGTGGGGACCCTGGTGAGAAGAAATTATTGGGGGGGGGGGCATGTCTCCCTTCACTGCCCTTTTTCTAACCCAAGCATTACTTTGCTGAGTATTTGCTATGGAGGTGAGGAAACGAGCTGAGCAGGATGCTCTTAGGTTATGAGGGAGACAGGCAACGCCCCAAGTAAGATAGTGACCAAAAAATTCTGGATGGTGAATATCAGGCAATGCAGCAACATCTTAACTTCTGTGGCAACCTTGCCTATCTGGCACAGAGAAGGAAGAGTAAAGGCCACTGAGCAGCCGGAGATCTCAAAGTTGCTGCACTATCACTCACACGTCCCACTCTGAGCCTGTGGACTGTAATTTCCCCAGCCCACCACGTGCTGGGAGATTAGAAAGAAACTGCTAGAGCAAAACCCACTGTCCACTGAGAGCAAAGGCAGAGATAGAATACCTTGGGAAAATATAGATTTAGTGAAGAGGTAAAAGCCAAATACACAACACAGCTCATAATAATGGTGGTATGATAATGAAAAGGTAACATGAAGGTCTCTTGCCCACTATTTTTAAAAGCAGAACTAGGTATAACCCAATGAAGACAGGCTCCCATCTAAATTGGTTATGTCCCAGCTCTTAAAAGGGTTTGCTTAATTTATAAGTCCCTCAATTATGACAGCTAAAGAAGGCCTTTCTGCATTTACTGAAAGGAAGTCAGGGAGATGGGAGGGAGGATGCCTGCTGGGACATCTTGTCCCTCCTCTAGGGTACTTGGCCTTTGTCTCTCCCCTGTGCCACCTCCCCCCCCCCCATCCCTGGCTTGGGGCTCTGCAGAGTTCAGCCCAGCCCCCCCCCTTCCAGTGACCTGGTCTCCTCTCTCCCTCGCCTGCCCGCCTTGCCCAGCCTGGGCTCTTGGTGGGGGTTCCCGGAATGGTGAAGGGGCTACATGAAGCTCACCAGCTCTATGGCAGGTAAAGACCCTCCCCCTGGGGACCAGGGGCCCCTGCCTGCACTGCTCCTTTGGTGCCCTCCTACCTTCCTGGATGATTTCCTTCCAAACTCCCCCTCCCAATATCCCATTCCCTTGCCAGGACTCTCCTTCCCCAGAACCCTTTTCTCTCCTCCCCAACCCCCAACCCTCCTCATCTCCCCAGGACCTCCTCCACCCCCTTCTCTCTGCCCCCCCACTTCCCAGGCTGCCATGGTACCAAGTCCTGGCCTTTGCAACAGCTGTGGCCCAAGATGGCTTCAACGTAACCCATGATCTAGGTCAGTGGGACTTGGGAGTTAGGGGTAAGGCATGCGGTTGGTGGAGGGGGGAGATACACCTCTGAGATTTGGGGCCCAAACCGGAAAGTACCTCTCTTCCAGTTTGCTCCTCAGATCTCTCCCACCCTTATCAGGAGGCAGACTCAAATGAGAAGATCTAGAGAGGCCCCTATATATCCTACCTCCCCCGTAACAGGCTCCTTGGGGGCTGGAGCTATGGGCCAGACACTCAATCCCTGCCCAGCCTCTTGTCCCTGCCCATAGCACGTGCCCTGGCAGAACAGCTGCCGCCCGATGCATCTGAGCACTTTCATGAGACGTTCCTGCCATCGGGCCGCCCACCACTGCCTGGCTCGCTGATGCAACGGCCTGACCTGGCCATGGTACTGGATGTACTTGGCACCTACGGCCCCGCTGCCTTCTATGCTGGTGGTAACCTCACGCTGGAGATGGTGGCCGAGGTGAGCACGGGGAGGGCCCGATGCCCCAACGGACTCTCCTGCAGGGACATCCTTCCTCCCCTTCCTTCCCTGGATTTCTCTCTACATATATTTACTTGAAATTCTAGGATAGGCAAAACTAACCTCTGGTGATAGGAGTCAGATCAGTGGCTGTTGGAGTGGGAGGGCTTGACAGGAATGCGGGAGGAAGAACCTACTGGGACGATGGGAATGTATTGTCTTGATGGAGAGAGGTAACTTTGGGCTTCCCGGGGCTGGCGCTAACCTGTGCAGAGGCCTGTCCTGCCCCTCCCAGGCTTGGTGGAGAACCGGGATCAGCCTCAGCCTCCCTGAGCCCACAACCTCACCCTGCCCTTAGGTTTTTCTAAGGATTGAGCAAAGGGCCTCCTTCATTGGTACTGGGGGGATTAGCATAAGGGCTTACCAACTAACCCCAAAGAGTCTTAGTCTGAGGCAATAATTGGTTTTAGAACTATTGTCAATAGTTTAAAATTCCCGATGGGAAATTATGTTCAAGATAAGGTATGCACAGACCAACTCAGTGGTTCTTTCATCTGGGCAATAGGGTGGTTATATCTATCCCTGCCATACAGTAGTGGGAACTGAGTAGGTCCATCACTTATTCTTCATCACAAAGCGCCTGTTCTGTGCCAGGTCCTGTGCTGAGCACTGGAGAGATGGATGTGGTGATAGAAGCCACCTCAGATGGACTTAACTGGAAAGTCCCGCAGAGAACTGGCTTTAGGTCGGCTGGGCCCAGGGGTTCCATCCCCACTGTCAAGACTTGGTCTGTCTCTCTTTCTGCCTCATAGCTCTACTTTCCTCTGCATGAACTCACTCTCAGTCAGATCCTTTCCACACCTGCTCCCGTCAGCCATCTTTCCAGTAAGCCATCCCAAGGAAAGAGCATTTCTCATTTCAGTAATTCAAGCAAAGACTCAAGGTTATGTCTCATTGGCCTGTAATAGATCTCATGACTATTCCCAAGCTAATCACTGTGCCATGAAAACAAAAGCTCTGATTAACCAGACCTGCATTGTGTATCCTCTCCAAGAGGTGGAGAAGGGGATCAAGAAAGTCCATCAGAGCTTCAAATTTTAAAAAAAATAACAACAAAACACAAAGTTGTCAAACAAAGGAGCACACACCAGCCAAGCAATTCAATGGATAGTTCACCGAGGGTGGATTAAAGTCAGAGGTTTCAAATACTGGGGGGGGGGGAATGGAGGACATTCCTAGTGTTATGCTAATTTAGGGTTGAAAATGAGCATGCTGGGTAGTATGAAATGAACCCATTGGTTTGTACAAGATTGGTTCATTGTCATTCCTACCAGGGCCATCCATGGTTTTGTAGTGGCTTTAGTTATTTGTAGTGAAATGCAGGATTCAGTTTGATATCTCTCAAGCATGTGCTGCTGTAAGTGAAAAATCTTCCTTTCTCATAGGCAGAGAGAGCAGTATACACAAAGACATAGAGTCATGAGTTCAGGAACTGCAGGTCACCCAGAGCTCACTGGGGAATAGCAGGACATGAGGCGGAGATGAGGGCAGGGGCCAGATCACAAGGAGCCTTAAATACTGACCTAAGAAGGTCATTCATAGAATGTACCCAACACAATGTCTTGTACATAGTAGGTGTGCAATGTTAGTGCTTTTTCCTCTTCCTGATGGGAATTGCAAAAGGCACAAATATTATAAGCATCTGATCTGTCTGTGATCCAAACATATACCACAGGCCAAATCCCCATGCTCACTGCGTGGTGTGTGGCTCAAAGTGGTGGTGGGGGCATTCTCTCCCTTCCAGGCTCAGCATGCAGGGGGTGTTATAACTGAGGAGGACTTCAGCAACTACAGTGCCCTCGTGGAGAAGCCTGTGTGTGGCGTGTACAGAGGTGACTTCCCTCCCAGCTCCCAGGGTCCCCACTCAGGAGAATCCTCCCAGTCCATGGCTGTATGATTTTGGCCTAGAGACTCCTTCCCATTTAACAGGAGAGACACTGAGGCAGTGAGCTGCCTGGACAGCTAACTAATGAAGCAAGCCAGAGTCAGCCTACCTTCTGAAGTAGTCTCAGAGTCAATTATCCCAAGTATTTAGGATATGGGGAGGGAGGTCTGGTTAAAGGTTCAGGCCTAGAAGTTGGGGTTCTGATTTGGACTCTCTGATGTCTTGTCCCATTCCTGGTCCCCCTCTCAATGCCTTACACATAATAAGAACTCATAAGACTAAAGTCCATCTAAGCTTCTGGTTATAACAAACTTTTCAAGACAGTCATAGACCTCCCTCTAATTGTGCCAAAAGAAAACAGGGCCCAGGGAAGGAAAAGAACTTAACCTGTCAAATTAAAAAAAGTGATAAACCCATGAATTCAAGTTTATGACATAGATGATGTCCATGTTTGTTGAACCCAAAGTGGTAGGCTCCTAGGTCCCTAGGAAGGCTCATAAGTTGTCTTTCCTCTAGGGCAGTGGTCGGCAAACTCATTAGTCAGCAGAGCCAAATATCAACAGTACAACGATTACATTTTCTTTTGAGAGCCAAATTTTTTAAACTTAAACTTCTTCTAATGCCACTTCAAAATAGACTCACCCAGGCCGTGGTATTTTGTGGAAGAGCCACACTCAAGGGGCCAAAGAGCTGCATATGGCTCACGAGCCGCAGTTTGCCGATCACGGCTCTAGGAGGCCCAGATTACTTCAAGCCCCAGAAGAGACTGCCTCTGAGTTCAAGTTTCCAGACCTCAATCTCCCGCCCAATTCCTCTACCAGAGGCAATGTCATATGGAACAGAGAAAGAGCGTAACTAGGGAGCCAGGAGGACCTGCCATTCACCTTGAACAAGTCACTTCCCACTCTGAGCCATGGTTCCCTCCTTAAAATGGAGATAATAGTGCCTACCTCTCAAGGTGGCTATGAGGATTTGATGAGATGATGTTGGAAGTTGCCCTGATCAGAATGGGCACTGATTTTCCATTTCCCCTCCAAACCTGTATTCTCTTGGCAATGCCAGAAGCTTGAGTACTCTAGGTTCCACTTGTATCCTGTAGCCTTGGGCCAGCTGCCTCTCTGTGCCTCAGTTTTCTCACCTGTAAAATGGGAATAGTAAAAGTACCCATTGTGAGGATTAAGGGAGTTAATTAGTTATGGTTTGTGTTATATCAGATATTATTATTCCTTTGGTGTCCAAACATCTAATAACTAGAGCCTTATATAGGAAGAGAAGGTTGCTGCTCCCAGGAAGTTTCAGGGCTGGGACCCTCAGGGGCCATGAATAGTATCCTGCCCTATGGTGGGCCAGGAATCCGAACATCTGGACATCTGTCCCTGCTGTGCCAATGGCCTTCATTGAAACTCTGGGCAAATGACAGTCCTCTTCAGCCTTAGTTTCCTTATATGGAAGAGGAAACTGAAGACCAGTGTTCCGAATTGGAGTCCTAGCCCTGTCCTTGAAGCGCCATGTGAACTTGCATGTGTCCCTTTGCCTGTCACCACTTTCCCCCTATCTGACAAGGGAGTTCAGTGCTGCAGTCCCAGTCTATGTGACGGTGGGATGTGGAGGTGCCTTGACTGTCCCTGCCATCTGGTCATTTCCTGTCCTTTCAGGCCACCTGGTTCTCAGCCCCCCGCCCCCGCACACAGGCCCTGCCCTCATCAGCGCTCTCAACATCCTCGAGGGCTTCAACCTCACCAGCCTGGTCTCCCGGGAGCAGGCTCTTCACTGGGTGGCAGAGGTAAGGCCAGCCCCTCCATTCGACCCTGTGCTGGGGGACACTGAGAGTGGGGGGATGGGGTACTGCCATGGGGCAGGACTAAATCCCCTCCAAGTTTTCTCACACACAAGAATTCTGGGTGTGGGTTCTGGGAGAAGTCTGGCTGCCTCTGCCATACCTCTGCTCTGTTTTCAGACCCTGAAGATTGCACTAGCCCTGGCCAGCAGACTGGGAGACCCCATCTATGATTCTACCATCATTGAGAGCATGGATGACATGCTAAGGTGGGTCCCGTGGCAGGACCATGGGGACTGGACAGATGGTGGCGTTGTAGGGAAAGGTCTGGTGTAAAGCAGCTGATAGAAAAATAGGCCTGCCAAACCGGTTTGGCTCAGTGGATAGAGCGTTGGCCTGAGGACTGAAAGGTCCCAGGTTCAATTCCAGTCAAGGGCATGTACCTTGGTTGAGGGCACATCCCCAGTAGGGGGTGTGCAAGAGGCAGCTGATCGATGATTCTCTCTCATCGATGTTTCTAATTCTCTATCCCCTCTCTCTTTCTCTCTGTAAAAAATCAATAAATATATATTTTTAAAAGAAATAGGCCTGAGGACCCATATCAATTCCAGCTCAACTCTAACTCACAATGTGGCAATGATTGCTTCTCCTTGCACCTCAGTGTTCCCATCGGTACAATGAGCTGTTCTACTTCAGATGGCTCTCAGGGCACATATATGGGCCCATCTGGTCCTCCTTTAGTGAACAAAGAAAGCCTATTAACAATGAAAAGAATCTCCAAGAAAATATTGGAGGTGGTGGAGATTTTTATTAAAATGTATCTATATTAGCAGGATAACATAATAGTAAAACTGTGGGCTCTTGTCAGACTGACTCAGTTCAAATCCCAGATTCTCAGCCTATGCAGCCTTACCCTCTCTAAATCTGTTTCTACAAGGGGGCCTGACAATAATAGTGCCAACCGCATGGTTAATTGTAAAGACCAAGCAAGGTTACTCATACAAAGCATTGAGCATGTTGTCTAATACATCATAAATATTCAACAAATATCATCATTAATTTTAATTGGCAATAGGGGTAAGCATAGTTACCATTTAACTGCTAATAAATGACTTAAAGGCTGGCTGAGGGAAAATCAGAAACCAAAAATATAGCTAATGTAAATTTGTATTTTCATGATTTCATAAATTTGCTTTTAAGATCAATACATATTTAGCTCTAAAATACACACACATACCTATATTAAATCCATTCATTCAATAAATTTTTTAAAAAATACATTTTTATTGATTTAAGAGAGGAAGAGAGAGGGAGAGAGAGATAGAAACATCAATGATGAAAGAGAATCATTCATCGGCTGCCTCCTGCATGCCCCCTACTGGGGATCGAACTTGAAACTTGGGCATGTGTCCTGACCAGAAATGGAACCGTGACTTCCTGGTTTATAGGTCAACATTCAACCACTGAGCCACTCTGTCCAGGCCATCCAATAAATATTCATAAGGGCTTACTATGTGACAAGTCTTTCTGTGTCTTCAAAAAAAATTCTAATAGCAAGTAAAGATTCTTGTATACAAACCTCCCCCCACAACCACGCCCTCCCCCCCCCCTCACACACACACACACAATAAATTCTTAATGAAACTTAATTTTTGGATTACAAACATCAGGTTAAGTGAATTCAGTTTGTTCATGTCAAAACAAATATCTTCTGAGCATTCACTATACCCTATAGGTACTTTCATAGAAAGGATTAAATGAGTAAAGTCAAGTAATTAAAAGACTCTTGATTGAGGCACTGAATAAATTAAAAATCATCTCTAGAAGAGAATCTGAATAACATCTAACTAAATTCATTCGGTTCAACAACTATTTCCTGAATATTTCCTATATGCTAGGAATATGTAATCTGTTCTCTGGAACAGACCAAAACGGGAGGCAGATATTAATCAAATAATCACACAAACAGACATCACAAAGAGTGGTAGGAGGGATGGAAGGAGAACTTGCTGTGTGTTCATCTCCTACCCATGTCTTTTCAGCAAGGTGGAGGCTGCCTACCTGCGGGGCCACATCAATGACTCCCAGGCAACCCCTGCCCCACTCCTGCCTGTTTACGAGCTAGATGGGGCTCCCACGGCTGCCCAGGTGCTGGTCATGGGCCCTGACGACTTCATTGTGGCCATGGTCAGGTAGGCAAGCTCAGACTCCACTTGGCATAAGAGATCATCATCTAGGTGGGGGCTGGGCAGGAGTGAGAGTGGGCTCAGGGTTCACCTGGCCCCAATCTCGGTTCCCAGCTCCCTGAACAGGCCCTTTGGCAGTGGCCTCATCACCCCCTCGGGGATCCTACTCAACAGCCAGATGCTGGACTTCTCCTGGCCCAACAGGACTGCTAACCACTCTGCACCCAGCCTGGTAGGGTCTTGCTTCCCTCTTACCCTTCAGACTCCAAGGCTAGGGAGGATGTGTTACAGTATGGCTGCTCCTCCCTCCCTATTTCCGCTAGGAACTTCTATGATAAAGAAAAGGAGCCCAGACAAGGTGCTTACTTCATCCCAGCCTAAGTCTGGGGCTTGGGAGCCTGGTAGATCCAAAGAAACCTTGTCCCCGCTCTGGGCCTCAGTTTCTTCTCACCTGTATAAGGAGGATAGTGTGCTTTAGGTACTTTTTAGTGCTAATTGTCTATGGCTGTGTAAGGCTGAGCTGATGGGGTTCAGCCCCTATTGCTGGGCACCAAAGGAGAAAGGAAATAGGAATTATTGTGTAGTTGGAGGTCAGCACCTTTACATCCTTCAAGCTGGGGCCCCTCAGGACGAAGACAGATGACCAGGGTGGAGATTATTCTGTTCATCCCCATAGTCATCTTTCTTGGTTTGGCCCCTTCCCTGCCTCAAAACTTAGTGGGTTCACTATCCACCCCAGTCATCCAAGGACCCTGACCATTTCACATATAGCAAACTGTGGCCTGGGGAGAGACAAGTCTCCAATGAAAACTGGGCCTGTGGAAGATGTAGGGGAGGGAGGGAGGAAGGTTGGAAGAGTGATGGAGTAGTCCTTATCCTATCTCACCCCACCTCTCGCCTCCCTTGGGGCCTTGGTCCTCTGACAACAGGAGAATTCGGTACAGCCGGGAAAGCGGCCACTGTCTTTCCTGCTGCCCACTGTGGTCCGGCCAGCAGAGGGGCTCTGTGGAACCTACCTCGCCCTGGGGGCCAATGGAGCTGCCCGGGGCCTCAGCGGCCTAACCCAGGTGAGGTGTCCTCCACGGCAGGCCTTCTGTGCCAGGAGCCAAGCGGTGGCCTGCAGATGCCTTCACGTCTCTTGTTTATTTTCATCTGTTACTCACAGCAAACGAGGGCTGGAACTGCCTTGTGACAGGCCCCTCCTGGACACCAAGGGCTGTGCTGACTTTCTGAGTGAAAATGTAGCCCTGAAGCTCCCTGTCTTCCCAGGTTGCAGGAGAAACTGCAGGGCCAGTGGGATTGAGAGGTGATATGGCATCTGGGCTGCCTGAATTCTCTCAATCTCAAGTTCCATGCTGTACTCAGCATCTGAATAGAGAAGCAGCCTTTTTTTAGGATTTTGAAAGCAAGGGTCTGCTACACTCCAAAATGCCTCACAACAATTCCACAAATGTATATGTGCCAGGTACATAATTTGACAGGTGGTGAGTTAACTAACCTGAGCTTTGGAATTACACGCCCCTGAGTCCCAGGCCACGTGCTGCCGATTTCCAGTTATGTGATGTTGGAGAATTCACTTAACCTCTCTGAACCTGTCTCCTCATCTGTAAAATAGAGATAAAAATAGCTAACATATACAGAGTTATTACTAAGTACTGGGCATGGTGTTAGGTGTGTTAACTCCTTTACCTTCTCAACTTTGGAAGGAATCCTTATTTCTATTTCATATATAAAAAAATGGAGGCCAAGAATGGTTAAAAATTTAGGTTCAGTTTAGAATAGGCAAGCATTGGTTCCAGAGCCTATCCACACTGCAAACCAATAAGCTCAAAGTATCCACATTGTGACCTAGACTATGCCCAGCCATTAACTCTGTCCAGGCCAGGGACAGGGGAGGTCAGCTGGGCTGGGAGACTGGATGCTAGCAGTGCCTCTTCCCTGGCTCTCTCTAAACTCTGGAGTGAATCACTTTTCTTCTCTAGCCCTCATTTACCCATCTGTGAAATGGGGATAGTCATCAAAGGTCTGCCTGTCTTCTGGGACTGTTGAGAAGCCCAAATGACACTCCTGATGCAAGGAATCTAAAGACTAAGGAGTCTGGACCAGGAGGAAGGACCATAGAGTCCTAAACCCCATCTCTGGGGTAGCCCTGACTTCTGCCCTTTGGCTGTCTGCAGGTTCTGCTGAATGTCCTGACCTTGAACCGGAACCTGAGTGACAGCCTGGCCCATGGTCGCCTACACCCGGACCTGCAGTCCAACCTCCTACAGGTGGACAGTGAGTGTCCCCATGGAGTGGGCACTGGGCATGGTAGAGAAAGAGGCTCCTCCCAAGGGTGTCCCTGCCTCAACCAGCACCAGCTCCCTGCCATTGAAAGTTTGGTTTCCTCCAACTAATTCCTAACAGTACAAGATCTGGGGGGGTTAGGACCATCCTGCCATTTCCTGGCTGAGTGACCTTGGGAAATTTATGTCTCCACTCTGAGCTCAGTGTTCTCATTTATAAAACAAGATGCAGTTGTTTATTCTGCAAACCATTAATTCAGCAGTTTGTATTGAGTATCAACAGGCATTATCTTAGATGCCAGGGATACTGCATTTACAAGCAGACAGGAAAATAAATTAACAATAATAATAGTAAGAGAAAGCAAAATAAATGCCCTACAGAGCATTAAATTAGGATAATGTATGTATAGGGTTCACTCGATGATTGAGGGAGGCCTCTCTTTGGGAACATTTAAGTTGTGATCTGAAGAATGAGAAAAAACCCGCCGTGCAAAGAACTGGGACTCTGTATGTCAAGGGAACAAATGCAAAGAATTCAGGGCAAGAATAAGGGAACAAATGCAAGAATTCAGGGCTTGGTGCGTTCTAGGAGTAGAAAGGAAACAAGAGTGAGTGAGGATGAGATGAGATCAGAGAGGCAGCAGGGGCCAGGTCATGGATCTTATAAGTTATTGTGTGGAGATGACTTTCCTTTAAAAAAAAAAAAAAAAAAAAATATATATATATATATATATATATATATATATATATATATATATATATGATTGATTTTTTACAGAGAGGAAGAGAGAGGATAGGGAGTTAGAAACATCAATGAGAGAGAATCATCTATCAGCTGCCTCTTGCACACCCCCTACTGGGGATGTGCCCGCAACCAAGGTACATGCCCTTGACCGGAATCGAACTGGGACCATTCAGTCCACAGGCTGACACTCTATCCACTGATCGATGTTTCTCTCTCACTGATGTTTCTGGCTCTCTATCCCTCTCCCTTCTTCTCTGTAAAAAATCAATAGAATATATTTAAAAAGAAGAAGAAGAAGAAGAAGAAGAAGAACAACAACAACAACAACAACAACATTGTGAATAGGGGAACTGCCTGTGCAAAAGCCAGAAAGAATGGGTCAGAGAGCAGCCAAACGGTAGTTGGACTAAATACCCAAATTTCAGAATTTATCCATCACTTTCATGACTTCTGGCACATTTATACATCTTCTAAACCATTATTTACCCAATGTGTCTATAAACACATTTAACCTAAATGTATTTTTAAAGTAAATCTTTATCATAATCTCAAATGGAAAAATGTCATTATATGCCACAAACAGACAATAAGTAGCTATAAAAATAAAATATTTTTAGGTTTTAGTTAGATATGGTTCCCCAGAGAAGGCTCTCAGGGCTGCTCTTTCTGTTACAGAAAATTATTTTGTCCCATTTGGGAAAATAAGACAATATTTTTGTTGAGGAATAGTGGGAGGTGAAGTTATAGGGCTTATCATGGAGGTCCTTGTTAAGAACATGGACATTATTCAGTTGAGTAGGGAAGGGATATAACCTGATTCATTTCATATAGGATAGGTGTACTGTAGGGAGGAGAATTTAAGTTGGGGAAGTATTATAAGAAGCACCCTGAATAATGGACCAGCAAGAGATGAAGACCGGCCCAAACCGGTTTAGCTCAATGGATAGAGCGTCGGCTTGGGGACTGAAGGGTCCCGGGTTTGATTCTGGTCAAGGGCATGTACCTTGGTTGCGGGCATATCCCCAGTAGGGGGTGTGCAAGAGGCAACTGATCGATGACTCTCTCTCATCGATGTTTCTATCTCTCTCCCTTCCTCTCTGTACAAAATCAATAAAATATATTTTTTTTTTAAAAAAAGAGAGAGATGAAGACCGGAAATTATGCAAGAGGGCGAGGACTTATTAATTTATCCAGGAAAGACTTGGCTTAACATTTACTATGTCCTCAGCCAGTTCTAGGCTCTGGGGATCAATAATGAACAAGAAAACACCGCTGCCTTTATAAAGCTTATATAATAATATAGTGGAGGGAGACACAGTAAATAAATAAACAAATACAGGTAGCATTAAGTACTGTGAAAGAAAACAAAGCAAGGTAAAGATAACATGGGCTGATATTTTAGATAGTGATGAGAGAAGTCCTTGAAGATTGGAATGAAGTGAGGGAGGCAGTTTTGTGACTCTCTAGGAAGAAACATTCCAAGCAGAGAAAAAGCAAGTGCCGAGTCCATGAGGTAGAACCATGTTTGGCTTCTTTGATGAAGGAGGTTAGAGCAGTTAAGGAAGAGAGTGGAAGGAAGTGAAGAGAGGAGTTTAGAGAGATAGTGAGGACCCAGTTGATGGTGGGTCTTAGAGACCTTGGCTAGGACTTTAGATTTTATTCTAAGAGTCATCAAAGCTGTTAGAGGGGTCCAGCTGGCTCAGTTGTTTAACGTTGACTTGTGAACTAGGAGGTCCTGGTTCAATTCCCGGCCAGGGCACATGCCAGGGTTGCTGGCTCAATCCCCAGTAGGGTCATCTAGGAGGCAGCTGATTAATGATTCTGTCATCATTGATAGAGGGTTTTGAGTGGGGGAGTGATATGGTCTAATGCAGTGTTTCCCAAACTTTTGACATATGTGTACCCCTTCTATAATTTTCATAATGCTGAGTACCTCTCGTACTCATGAGAACATAAAATTAGGCGCAGCTAAGCTCGGTGCAGTGCATATCCCCACCAAACTCCAGTGCAACGCGTACCCCCATCAAACTCTTCCCGTACCCCTGGGGGTACGTGTACCACACTTTGGAAAACACTGGACTCTAATGGTTTAAAAGGACTCTTTGACTACTGTGTGAATAGGCTAAAGGAAGGCAAGACTGAAAGCAGAAACACCAGTTAGTGGGCTATGCAGCAATCCTAGCAATGATGGCAGCTTAGCCTATGCAGGTGGAGATAAGACTCCAAAATCCCTTTTCCAATATTAAGAATGACTGTATATTTTGGATCACTTACTGTATGCAAGGCTCTGAACTCAATGCTTTCTGTGTATTATATCCTTTAATCCCTGCAACAACTTTATATATTGTAGTAGGTTCTTGTATGATCCCTATTTTATGCATGAAGAGACAGACTCAGAGAGCTCAAGCAATTTGACCAAGGTCATACACCTCCTCAGTGGAGCTTCCAGGACCAGGACTCAGGTCTGACCATTGGACTCCTGAGCTAGTGCTATGAAAACTGAATGTGTGTATATTGTGGGGTGGTTTTCAGGTGAGTTCACAGAGGAAGAGATTGAGTTCCTGGAAGCGAGGGGTCACCACGTGGAGAAGGTAGATGTCTTATCCTGGGTCCACGGCAGCCGGAGAACCAACAACTTCATCATCGGTGTGAAGGACCCTCGGAGTCCAGACGCAGCTGGAGCCACCATCCTGTAGAGCAGCAGGGTGGGGTGGGGGTCTCTGCTCCCCCCACCTTTGCATGTTCCTTCTCCCAAGTTTGGTCTTAGGAGGACCCCAGGGATGCCCCAGATCAGGGGCCAGAGGGGATGCTTATCAAACCTTTCCCCAGAGTAACTGGAAAATTCTCCATCCAGAGGCCTTGGTGGTGGTAGTGGTGGTGGTGGTGGTGGTGGTGGTGAGTGTCAGTGTTTATATCAGGCAGACAGGACCTCAAGGAGTCAGATTATCTGTCTGTCTCCTTTCCCTCAGCCATGCTGGCCTTGAGCTTAGGGATGTGCTTGCAAACCCTTCTCAAGGGTCCTCACAACCCCAAAATCTCCAATCCGGCCTTACCAGGGCCTTGTCTTCCGGCTCCCTTCTCTTGTCCTCAGCCTCATTTCTTAAAAGACTAGGATTTTTTTTTTAATGGACCATCCTGGGAGGTTCCTCTCTTCCTCCCACCAGGTTGAGGAAGGCGCATTGTACCTGTGGTCCGGGGTATGGAATCCCTAGGGGTGGGGGGGTGGGAACCAGCTCAGGGGCTTCCATTTGCAAAGGGGAATTAAAGAAAGAATATTGCTTAACCATGGCTCTGGCTTAATTTATGTTTGGTTGTGTCGGGAGTTGAGTGAGAAACCTCGGTTCACCTTGTCCCAGGAGTCCTGACTCCAGGGCAAACTAGAGTCGATCTTTTGAGGGTCATATATCTGCCATCTATCTAAGACTTGTATTATAAAAATTATAAAGTAACTAATAACTGCTAGTATAATTATAGATGGCATCTATTGAATGCTATGTGTGCCAGGCCCTCAGCTAATTTTATTTGGTCTTCTTTACAAATCTCATGAGGTAGGTACTATGCCCACTTTACATGTGGGAAGCTGACAAAAAGAGGTTAAGGGACTTGTCTAAGGGTTCTCATGTATGAAATGGAAGAACTGGGATTCAATCTCAGGATGTCTAACTCTTAATTTGTGCTCGTAACCATTTGTACATCTACTAGGTGGGCTACTTGTTATAACATATATTGGTATACAATATATATAAGACAATAAATACCTTTTATACATTATGGCATTCATGCATGCATCCATGCATTATAGTCCAGACACTTTGTTAGGCACAAAAGATTCAGTATTGAACAAGAATATTTTTTAAGCCGAAACCGGTTTGGCTCAGTGGTAGAGCGTTGGTCTGCGGACTGAAAGGTCCCGGGTTCAATTCCGGTCAGGGGCATGTACGTTGGTTGTGGGCACATCCCCAGTAGGGGGCGTGCAAGAGGCCCTTGATGTTTCTTTCTCATCGACATTTCTAGCTCTCTATCTCTCTCCCTTCCTCTCTGTAAAAAACCAATAAAATATATATTTTTTAAAAGAATATTTAAAAAAATATATTTTTATTGATTTCAGAGAGAAAGAGAGAGGGAGAGAAATAGAAACATCAATGATGAGAGAAAATCATTGATTGGATGCCTCCTGCACACTCCACACTGGGGATCAAGCCTGCAACCCGGGCACGTGTGCCCTGACCCTGGAATCAAACCTTGACCTCCTGGCTCATAGGTCAATGCTCAACCACTGAGCCTCGCCGAGCAGGCTAACAAGAATATTTTTTATGGGTTTGCAGTGTACAAGGGGAATAAAACATTTAAGAAATAGGACACAGATAATTAGGGTAATTGCCATCACAAGAAGCTCTATGAGGGATGCAATGAGAATGGACACCAGGAAAGTTAATCTAATTCGGGGGGAGGGGGGGACCACCAAAGATCTCCTCAAGGAGATGAATACGGTGAGTAGGATCAAAAGGAGAGGATTAAATGTGAGATGTGAGAATGTAATTTTAGGCAAAGGGATCAGTGTGTGCAAAGGTCGTTAGGGATGTGCTTACAAAGAATGTGACATGTTAAAGGAGGTGGAAGAAAGCCAATATATTCTTCCTACAGCAACAAATGGGTTAGTCAACAAATGTTTTCTGCCAAGGGCCAGACAATAAATACTTCACGCTTTGAGGTTGTATGATCCCTGTAGTAACTACTCAACCTTACTGTTGTCAGAAAAAGCATAGACATTATGCAAACAACTGGCTATATTCCCATGAAACTTTATTTTATAAAAACTGGGCCTAATTTAACCTAAAGAGTGGTTTGCTGACCTCTATGTTAGAGCATACTGACAGAGGATGATGGTATGAGACACACTTATGAGGTATGTATTAATCTCCCCATTTTATGGATGAGGAAGTTGTGACTCCAAGGCATGAAGTGACTTGCCCAGGGTCATGCAGCTGGTAGTTGGCAGATCTGTGACTCAAAAGCAGTCTTTTTTATTCCAAAGATCATGTCCCTCTCCTCTCTTAAAAAGCATTTATCTGATTACAGATGTATTATTTAAATATCAAAGAATCCATAAAAATATGATGTAGATGATCTATGCCCTAAAAATCTCAACTTTCCAAAAACCCAATCATTTAATATACATACCCCAACCCCTTTTTTGTAGATATAACATATTATTTTATTTAAAAATAAAAATGGGATTATATCATTCACACTGTCTACAACTTCCTTTTTTTCTACTTACCAATATAACATGAGCATTTTTCCATGTCAATATAAATATATACATATCTACCTATTCATTTACAACAATGCATCATAGTTCATTGTAGGGTTTAACCAGTTTCCTATTGAATATTTGGGTAGTTTCCAATGCAACTTAGAATATCCTTGTAATTTACCAATTCTCCTAGGATGCCTTTCAAGTGATGGAATTATAGGACTTTCCATGCAGCATGTTTTTCAGGGGCCATGTGGGTCTCTTAGGTCATTTTCTTTCTTAAATATACTAATGGCATCCCTAGCTGGTGTCCCTCGGTTGGTTGGGTGTTTTCCAATGGATTCCTGGTGAGGGCACATGCCAGCTTGTGGCTCAGTCCCTGGTATGGGGCATGTAGGAAGCAGCTGATCGATGTTTACACATTCGCATGGATGTTTCTCTGTCCCTATCCTTTTCTCTCTCTCTCTAAAAAAAAAAAAAAAAAAAAAAAAAAATCAATAAACTGACATAACTGGATTGGCTCAGTGGATAGAGCATGGGCATGCAGACTGAATGGTCCCGGGTTCGATCCCGGTCAAAGGCTTCCCCCTCACCCCGGAGCCCTGGTCAGAGTGCCTAAAGGAGGCAAACAATATTTCTCTCATATTGACGTTTCTTTGTCTTTCCCTCTTTCTTCTACTCTCTAAAAATCAATGGAGCCGAAGCCGGTTTGGCTCAGTGGTAGAGCGTCGGTCTGTGGACTGAAAGGTCCCGGGTTTGATTCCGGTCAAGGGCATGTACCTTGGTTGCGGGCACATTCCCGGTAGGGGGTGTGCAGGAGGCAGCTGGTCGATGTTTCTCTCTCATCGACGTTTCTAGCTCTCTATCTCTTTTCCTTTCTCTCTCTGTTAAAAATCAATAAAATATGTTAAATAAATAAATAAATAAATAATTTATAAAAATCAATGGAAAAATATCGGGTGAGGATTTAAAAAATAATAATAAATAATTAAAGATAAATAAAAATATATATTAAAATTTTAAAAATCAACAAACTAGCCCTACCCGGTTGCTCAGTGGTTAGAGCGTTGGCCCTCAAACTGAAGAGTCGTGGGCTCGATTCCCATCAAGGACACATACCTCGCTTGCAGGTTTGTTTTTTTTGGATTTTTTTGTTGTTTTTTTTGTAAAAAATGGTTTATCAATTCCATTTTTGTATAAAATACATGGGAGAAAGCCAGCCAATCAACACGCAACTGTTGCCACGTGAAAAGATACTTTTATCAAACTTAGAGTCTAAGAACGTACAAATGTTTCTCTTACCATGTCTACAGTAATTGTCTATGCTGTTCCATTTAACTTTTTAAAATCCCATATAGCCCCCATATTTCTTCTGTCCTAGTTACAGTACAATGACAGGGAGGAAGAGAGTTAAAACAATTCTCTAAGCAGTTTTCTGCTGACCCTTCTTTCCAATCAGAGACTTATGGATGTGAGGGATCACACCACCCCCAGCTATGCTGGCCTTGATGAGAGAATCCAGCTCTTCATCCCCGCGGATCGCGAGCTGTAGGTGGCGGGGAGTGATGCGCTTCACTTTGAGGCCCTGGAGGCGTTGCCGGCCAGCTCCGGCACCTCAGCAGTGAGGTGCTCCAGCATGGCGGCCCTGTACGCGGGCTCGTGGGGCGAGTCTTCAAGTGTCTGTGGATGCGGCCCACGGGAAACTGTAGCCCAGCTCTCTGTGAGCGAGACACGGCCTTAGCCTTGGCCTTCCCACTGTCCTTACCAGCTCTGCCTCCAGCCATAGTCTCGGCCGCTCCCGCTCCCGCCGAGCCGCCGCCCCCTCGCTTGCAGGTTTGTTCCCTTGCTCTGGTCAGAGCCTCCTGGCAGCCAATCCATGTGTCTTTCTCACATTGGTTTCTTTCTCTCCCTTCCACTCTCTCTCAAAAAAAAAAAAAAAAAAAAAATCATTACAGAAAATATCCTCGGGTGAGGATTAACAAAAAATTAAAAATCAATAAACTATTGTTTTTTGTTTTACTATGTTTTTATTGATTTTAGAGAGAGGAAAGGAGATAGAGAAAGAGAGAGAATCATCAATTGGCTACCTCCTACTGAGGATTTAGTCTACAATCTAGGCCTAAATCTAACAGGCGGCCTCTTGGTGCACTGACTAATGCTCCCACCGAGTCACCCCGGCCAGGGCAATACGCTATTTTAATAAAATAAAAATAAAAAACATACATGCCAAAATCGGTTTGGCTCAGTGGCTAAAGCGTCGGCCTGCGAACTGAAGGGTCCCAGGTTCGATTCCGGTCAAGGGCATGTACCTTGGTTGCGGGCACATCCCCAGTGGGGAGTGTGCAGGAGGCAGCTGATCGATGTTTCTAACTCTCTTTCCCTCTCTCTTCCTCTCTGTAAAAAATCAATAAAATATATTTTTTAAAAATAAAATAAAAATAAAAAATATACAAATGACAGCCCTGGCCAGGTTGCTCAGTTGATTAGAGGGTCGTTCTGATGAGCCAAGGTTGTGAATTCAATCCCCTAGTCAGGGCACATACAAAAATCAACCAATGAATGCATAGATAGGTGGAACAACAAATCAATGTTTCTCTTTCTCCTCTCTCTCATGCAAATCAGCCAATAAAACACACACACACACACACACACACACACACACACACACAAAACAGGCTTGAATAAAAAATATTTACTGGAACAATTCTTATTTTTAAAACAAAATTCTGATATCTTAGAAAATCTGTTTTTTAAAAAGTTTTTTTATTGATTTCAAAGAAGAAGGGGAAAAGGGAGATAGAAACATCAATAATGAGAGAGAATCATTGATTGGCTGCCTCCTGCATGTCCCTACTGGGGATCAAGCCTG